CGTGGCGGCTGTCCCCCCTGGCCTCTTCTGGTTGAGGATAAACGTGGCGGCTCTTTCGTGGCTTGCCCGCATTCTGCTTGAGGATGAGCGCCTGACAGGTTGAAGGGGGAAGGTAGGGGGGTGGCGGGTAGGAGGGTGGGGGGTGGGTGGAGGGGGGCGGGAGTGGGGCGGGGTTGGGGGAACCCAACCCCTCTTCTTGCTTAAGGATAGGAGGGGGGAGGGGCTGGGAGAGAGGGGGGTGGGGGGTGGGGGGTTGGGGAGGCCGCCTCAACCCGCCCCAACAGGGTGTGGGGGCAGGAGAGGGGGGGTGGAAGGGGGGCAGGGGGGTGGGCGGGTGTCAGGGGAACCAACCCGCGGGGGCGGCGGGGCTCCAACCCCCCATTTAGCCCTCTAGGGGGTGTGGGGGCAGGAGAGGGGGGGTGGAAGGGGGGCAGCGGGGGTGGGGGGGTCAGGGGAACCCAGGGTGGGTTGGGGGGCGCACAACCCACTTCGACTAGAGAATCAGGGTTGTTTTTTGTGGTGCCCCCCACCAAGAACCCCTGCTCCGCCTGCCCTGCGCTGCCCTGCCCTGCCCTGGTCTGCCGTATTTCAAAGTCTCAAAGTAGGAGCTGCGCTGTCACACCCATATTGGTTGAGGATATTCTTCTTCAGCTTGAGACGCCACGTCTTGGAAACCCATATTGGTTGATGATAAACCCTCCCGGCCTTGTCCTTGCCCTTCTTCAGCTTGAGCTTCCACGCCTCGGAAACCCATATTGGTTGAGGATGGCTCACCCCCGGCCGTGTCCCTACCTGTGTCTTCTTCAGCTTGAACTTCCGCACCTCGGAACCCCATGTTGGTTGAGGATGGGCCCTCCCAGCCTTGTCCTTGCATAGGTACTCCGGCCTCTCCTCGCCTCCGTCCTGTTCGAGTTGAGACCACGCACCTCGGCCCCGATATTGGTTGAGGACAAGTGCTCCGGCCTGGTTCCCGCCTCCATCCTCTTCAAGTTGAGACCGCGCACCTGGGACCCCATATTGCTTGAGGATAGGCACTCCGGCCTGGTCTCGGCTTCTGTTTTCTCCAGACCACGAACCTGGGAACCCATGACAGTTGAGGATAGGCGATCCGGCCTTGTCGCCGCCTCTGTCTTCTTCAGGTTGAGACCACGCGCCGAGAACGTATTCTGAGAGTAAGTCCTTCGAGCTTGTTGTCGCCTCCTCTTGAAGCTCGCCTTCTTCTGGCTTCAAGCACCTGGCACTGATGCACGCTGCGGTAGGGCACGCACCTAGGAGCCCATATCGGTTGAGGATAAGTGCTCCGCCCTCGTCCCCACCTTCCCCTTCTTCGGGCCGAGATCGCGTACCTGGGACTCCACGTTGGTCGAGGATAAGCGCTCCGGCCTCGTCCCCGCCTCCGCTTTCGCACCTGGGACCCCATATTGGTTGAGGATAAGCGCTCCGGCCTCGTCCCTGCCGAGCACGCACCTGGGACCCCAGCTCCGGCCTCGTCCCCGCCTCCGCCTTCTTCGGGCTGCGCCCACGCGCCTGGAACCCCATATTGCGCCGGCCTGGTCCGCGAGAGCACGCACCTGGGACCCCATATTGGTTGAGGATAAGCGCTCCCGCCTCCGAGCACGCCTGGAACATATTGGTTGAGGAAAAGCGCTCCGGCCTCGTCGCCTTCTTCGGGCTGAGACCACGCACCTGGGACCCCATATTGGGTGAGGATAAGTGCTCCGGCCTCGTCCCCGCCTCCGCCTTCTTCGACTGAGACCACGCACCTGGGACCCCACATTGGTTGAGGATAATCAGCGCTCACCTCCTCACTTCGGTCTTCTTGGGGTTGGGACCACGTACCTGGGACACCATGCAGGCGAGCCTGCACAGCTTCGTTCCCGCTCCCGGCCTTTTTCTTCTTGAGGATACGCACCTGGCACTCCACGCTGGTTGCGGTCTAAGTGTGGGAGGGGCAGAGCGAGGGGGAGGGAAGGGAGCGGGGGAGGGAAGGGGGGGAGGGAGGGGGGGGACCCTCCGGAGGGGGACACCGGGTGGGGGGGGAGGGAGGGGGAGGGTGGGGAGGGGTGCGGGGGAGCCCCACACCCCATTTTAGTTGAGGATTGTTTTTTGGTGTCGGCCCATTACCCCCCGTGAGACTCGTGCCACCCTCCGGAGGAGGCACCGGGTGGGGAGGGGGAGGGAGGGGGGAGGGTGGGGGAGGGGGGCGGGGAGGGGCGGGAACCAACGCCCCATTTTAGTTGAGGATTGTCTTTTGGTGTCTGCCCACTACCCTCCCGGCCCAGGAGGGGGGGGAGGGCGGGGGAGGGGGGGCGGGGGGGAGACCCCGCACCCCATTGATTTCTGCCACTACCTTCCCTGAGAATTCGTGCCACCCTGCCACCTCTGGAAGGGAGGCCGTCAATAGGGCATGGGAGGGGGAGGGAGGGGGAGGGGGCATACCTTCAGGTTCCTGTTTTGTTTGAGGAAAAGCTCTCCGGATAAGCCCTCTCAGCCTTGTCGCTGAGACCACACACCTCGGCAACCCACATTGGTTGAGGCTCAAGCTTCCATACCCTCGATTGTCCTTGCCTCTGTCTTCTTCGGCTTGAGCTCCCACACCTCGGAACCCCATACCGGTTGAGGATAAGCCTTCCCGCCTTGTCCCTGCCTCTGTCTTCTTCGGCTGGGGCTTCCACACCCCGGAAACCCACATCGGTTGAGGATAAGCTCTCCCGGCCTTGCCGTTGCCTCTGTCTTCTTCGACTTGTGAGCTTCCGCCCCTCGGAAACCCACATCGGTTGAGGATAAGCTCTCCCGGCCTTGCCGTTGCCTCTGTCTTCTTCGACTTGTGAGCTTCCGCACCTCGGAAACCCATACTGGTTGAGTATAATCCCTCCCGGCCTTGTCCTTGCCTCTGTCTTCTTCGACTTGTGAGCTTCCACACCTCGGAAACCCATACTAGTTGAGGATAAACCCTCCCGGCCTTGTCATTGCGCTTCTGCAGCTTGAGACCCCACGTCTTGGAAACCCATATTGGTTGATGATAAACCCTCCCGGCCTTGTCCTTGCCCTTCTTCATCTTGAGCTTCCACGCCTCGGAAACTTATATTGGTTGAGGATAAGCCCTCCCGGCCTCGTTCTTGCCTCTGTCTTCTTCAGCTTGAGCTTCCTGGGGCCACGCACTTCGAACCCCCGGCCTTGTCCTTGCCTCCGTCGTCTTTTTGCTGGGGTCACGCACCTCGGACCTCATATTGGTTGAGGCCTCGTCCTTTCTCTTTTCTCCAAGATGAAACCATGCACCTGGGAGCCTATCTTGGTTGAGGATAGGCACTCCGGCCTCTCCTCGCCTCCGTCCTGTTCGAGGTGAGACCACGCACCTCAGACCCGGTTTTGGTTGAGGAGAAGTGCTCCGGCCTGGTTCCCGCCTCCATCCTCTTCAAGTTGAGACCGCGCACCTGGGACCCCATATTGATTGAGGATAGGCACTCCGGCCTGGTCTCGGCTTCTGTTCTCTCCAGACCACGAACCTGGGAACCCATGACAGTTGAGGATAGGCGATCCGGCCTTGTCGCCGCCTCTGTCTTCTTCATGTTGAGACCACGCGCCGAGAACGTATTCTGAGAGTAAGTCCTTCGAGCTTGTTGTCGCCTCCTCTTGAAGCTCGCCTTCTTCTGGCTTCAAGCACCTGGCACTGTTGCACGCTGCGGTAGGGCACGCACCTAGGACCCCATATCGGTTGAGGATAAGTGCTCCGCCCTCGTCCCCACCTTCACCTTCTTCGGGCCGAGA